GGGGGGGGGGGACAGCTCCAAAGCTCATGTGAGCAAACAGCCGTTTAAAGCAACAACATTATACTGTGATTTCGACCCGTTGCCACCGTCGGGGAAAATGTACAAACCCTGTTATTGCACGCAAAGATACACGCCATGATCGTCTCCGTGGTCAGCAGGATCCAAGTCACACCATTGACCGCCGTGAAAAAAATATACGGTTGCAGGATGTCTAAGATGACTTCACACGTCGTGAAGGGGATACTTACACTGACCGTCTCACCTTCGAATCTGGGGTAAACAAAAATGTATAACGTCGTTGGAATGTTAGCTTTAATTTTTTTTTTTTTTTAATTTAAATGTATATTAATTAAAGCAGGTAAACTTATTCTGACCAACGTCGCTTTAGGTATTTTGCGTTCAAATAGCGTAACCCATTACCTTCCATCCATCCCTGCGATGCCACAGCCCATGTAGGTCTTTGGCGTGCCTCACCTAGGCTGGGGAACCTTAACCGAAAGGCAAGGCAGCTCCATAGAGAGCTGTAAGGGGCAGACGGTTGTGCGCAGGACTAACAACCCGGCCATGTAATTTGTCTTTTTTTAATGTTACGAAAGCCCAACAACCCGTTACTTTAGTCCGAGTTTCTTTTGTCAATCTTATCAAACGGATAACTCGGGACAAGATATGACCAGCCAGGGTGTCACCCTTCCCTAGGACCAGGATGGTACCATGGGCCATAACCCCCCCCCCCCCCCTTTTTTTTTTTCGGCTGCAGACCGCCTCGTTGTTTTTAAGGAGCCGAAAGTTGTGATGTGGGGAAAAAATAAATAAAACATCTGTGCAAACCCTGTCGCTGCATTGGGTCTCGGGTGTTGAAGGAGACCAAACCTTTGATGTCGAAAAGAACAAAAAATATATCTATACACTTTTGCAGGGGGTGGGGGGGGGACGACAAAAACAGAGAGTGGCTGGGACCCCCCAATAGTCACGTGAAGGCTTTGTGTTGGCCAACGACTTAAGTAGTTTTTTTGGTTGTTAATCCTCATATTTGTCTGTAACTATCGTTAAAACATTTTAAAAAAAAAAAATATTTGGACAGTTTTGCCCATCAGCACATGCAGGTGCTGCCACTTTAAAGTTTTTTTGTTTTTTTTTATTTGGTCAAGCTGTACACAAGCATCCACAATAAATCGTAAGAATCTAAAGATAGACAATCTTTTGAATACCGTGCGTTTTAAAGGTATGTAGTTTCGTCCCCTTTAAGGGAACATTTTACAATTAAACACACACACACACTTTTACCATACAAATACGTTAAAACCTTGACAAATCGTTTCATTTTAAAGGAGTCTATCTGCCCGTACCATACTCCAGTCATGGACAGCTCACCTGTAGGAGTCTGTCTGCCCGTACCATACTCCAGTCATGGACAGCTCACTTGTAGGAGTCTGTCTGCCCGTACCACTCTCCGGTCATGGACAGCCCAGTGTCGCATAGACTCGTGGAACAAACCATTGAAATCGGAGAGGGTGCGTTTCAAGGTCTCTACCCCAAGGCTTCGTTTTCAAATCACTCAAATATATTCGCAAAACATTTTCATTTTTAAAAAAATCACCGACTTAAAATAAAAAATACTTTCCCTTCTATAAATTTGTACACACACATATATACGCCTTATAAGTTCGTCTGGAATTTGGAATATATAAAAACTTTAATTTTAATTATCTTTATGGGGAAAATCCCATCATTTTGGTAGCTGGTAGAAGGGTAATCTCGGAACTCACCTGCATTGGCAGCCCTTGCCTGACGACACACATTGTCCTGGTTTGGCGTCGCGCACGATTAAAATGACGTAATGCAAACCAAGTATCTGGGCCCCGAGTAGAATCCCCGTGGGTAGACAGCAGTGAAACCCCAAAAATGTTGTAAAGGCGTACTGGAGAGTGAACCATAAACAATGTGTTTATAAATATGGGGTTATGATGGGGTCAACCGGTTGTTAAAGTTTGACTGTTCTAGCGAACCGATTGTTAAAAGTGTCAAAATAATAAAATATACAAATTTATTTATTTATTTATTTAGGCATTTTATATAGCGCTTAACTTAAAGCTCTAAGCACTTTACAATTATTAAAAACATGTAAAATAACTAAAATAAAAATGAGACATTAGGATAGTAACTACTATACTATAGAAACAATTAAAATGGCTATAAAACGAGGACACTTTGGCACGTTTTGGCCTATACTACAGGATTAACCCGAGACAGAAAATGAGGCAGGGCAAGTACTGAGATGTTTGATTGGCTGCACACCGCCGGTGGTATATGTACGCCATCTCCAACAGCGTGCCTGCATGTCCTCTGGATCGAGTGATTGCCACTCGTAAACAAAAATAATCGCAGCTGACTTTGGCCAGAAGATGCTGTGGGTCATTCTTTTGAAGCGAAAGCGCCAAAATCATGGAACAGTTTGCCTCAATCTTTGAGGGGAATTGTGAATGATAAAGAATCATTTATGAAACAATTAAAAACTTTTTTGTTTAAATAGATTTTGGAGGACCAGAGCGCAGTGAGCGTGTTACAATGGCGTGCATACCGGCGCGATAGAAATATCAAATCTATCACTCAATCAATTCTTAGAAATTTGGTCTGGGAAAAGTTCCATGGTCCGCTCTGATTCGCTTTTCTTAACTAGCTGCTCAGACGTCCTATATATTTAAGAATGAGCTAGGTTCACATAACGCCAAAAGGGAGATATTTTTTTAAGTACGTTCGGATTCCTAAAAACAATCCTAGTTATTTTCTAATATTTTACAGAAATCGAATAAATTTAAATGTGCAAAAAAATTATTTAAATCCACTTTTATTTTAGTAAAAGTTTAA